ATTAGAAGAGAGGCAGGCTTGTTTTGTATAGAATTATGCACAAGTACTTCGTATTCTAAGTATGAATAGTATTGCTATTATGTTTATATTTTAATAGGTATTTAGATATTAATATATATTATATATATATATATATATATATATATATATATATTTGTACATTATATTATAAGGTTATCCTTTCTAAATTTTATATAAATTTATTGTTATATTTTTTGTTATAATTGAGTATTTTATTGTTCAGTTTTTTACATTTAAGTTACTTTTATATTATCTATATATTCATATATTATTATATTTATATTACTTATAGTTTTGAGCAAGAAAAGGTGTTTGTTAATATGGTTATATTTGAATAAAATTTATAATTTCAGGTTATTTGTTTATCCGTAAGATATTCATTGATAGTGTAGTATGCTTTTTTTATTAATATTTGCTTTAGGGTGTTTAGGAATTTCGTGTCGCTAGGCTCATCTTTTATTTTGTTGGGTAGTTTATTGTATATTTTGATGCACATTACATATGGGCTATTTGAGTGCAGTGTCATGTTGGATGTAGGTAGCATAAGCATGTTTTTGTGTCTCAGTGATCTGTTGGTGTGTCTGTCCCCGCGCTTTGTAAAGAAGGTAGAGTATCTCTTAACGAATTTACATATTTCTAAGATGTAGATGCATGGAAGCGTAAGTATTTTATGTTTTTGGAAATGGGGTTTGCAACTTTCGGTTTGCTCTATGTTTGTGAGTATGCGGATTAGTTTTTTTTGCAGTATGAAGAGTGATGGTGCGTCAGTGCTGTTTCCCCACAAGAGAATACCGTAGCTGAGCCGCGAGTGCGCATAGGCGTAGTAAGTACTCAGTGCTGTTGGTAGGTCAGTAGTTATCTTTACTTCGCGGAAAGCATAAATAAATTTAGATAGCTTGGATTTAGTGTTTTGGATGTGTGTCTTCCAGTTAATGTGAGTATCTATTGTAAGTCCGAGTAGTGTGAAGTCATCCACAACATCTATTTTTGTATTATTAGTGGAGAAGTTGATTGTTATTGGAGCTTTTTGGTAGGGGTAAAATGTCATTATTTTTGTTTTATTATAGTTTATTTGCAAATTGTGTTGATCCATCCATTCTGTTGTTTTGTTAAATATGGTGTCTAATTGTGTATTTATTTCTGTTACGTTATGGCATGATGTTAGAAGAGAAACGTCGTCGGCAAATAATATACAGGGTTCATTCATAATTTTTGGGAGATCGTTGATGTATATAAGAAATAACAGACAACCAATAACGCTACCTTGAGGAATTGACGAGTTTAAAATTTGTCTGTCCGACCTTATACTGACTATTTCATTACTTTCTTGATTGAAGTACTCAATTTCAACGTATTGTTCTCTGTCCTTAAGGTATGACTCAAACCATTGGTGGGTAACTCCGCGAATTCCTATTTTATACAATTTGTTAAGTAAGATGTCAAATTTCACTCTGTCATATGCCTTGGTCATATCAAGTAAAATGCCAACTGCGTATTTTTTATTATTTAAAATGTTAATTACTTCCTGAATATACTTATAAACTGCCAGTGTTGTTGACCTTTGTTTACGGAACCCATTTTGACCCTCATCAAAAATTTTGAATCTCTCGCAAAAACTATAGACTCGATCGCACATAGCTTTTTCAAAAATTTTTGATCCTGTCGGCAGGAGTGCAATGGGGCGGTAATTGTTGGGATCCGTCTTCGAGTTTTTCTTGTGAATTGGTTTAACGATAGCCCTCTTTAGGAGATCTGGGAATATGCCTTCTTCGAATGACTGGTTTATTAATACGCAAATTGGTGCAGTGAGTTCGTCAGCGCACTGTTTAAATAAGGATGGAGGTAATTCGTCTATTCCATGACTATTTTTATTTTTGAGATTTTTTATTAGTTTGTTAGTTTCGAGGTAGTCTACTGGTCTAAGGAAAAATGTGTTCTCTAACTGCTGAGTTACAGTTATATCACACTGTTGGTTGTTACTTAGGTTCGCGGTATCTTTGCCGATTGATGCAAAAAAATTGTTGAATATATTTACTATTTGTTTAGGTTCAGTATTAAGTACGTTATCGATTTTTAGTTGAATATTTTGCTTTTCAGCTCTAGGATTTTTGTTTGTGCGTTCTTTTATTATTGCCCACATAGTTTTAAATTTGTTTTGTGATGTTTTTATTTGATTTATATATTGTAGTTTTTTAGCTGTTATTACTGACCGTTTTAGTAATTTTTCATATTTTCTATAGTATTTTTTAATGACTAGATTGCTTGACTTTAAACATAGGATTTTTAATAATCTCTTATTTTTGCAAGATAGTTTAATTCCTTTGGTTAACCAATATTTTTTATGGCTTTTTTTTAATTTTATTTTTCTTTTAGGTATAGTTTTATTTAATGTTATTTTTATTATGTTATTGAAAGCTTCGTAGTTTTGGTTGATATTGTTATTAGGTACAATGTGATCCCTCCAGTTTATTGACTGTAGTGCTGCTTTAAATAAGCCTATATTATGTTTATTATATAATCGCTTTTTGATATAATAGACCGTGTTTTTGTTTTGAGACTGCGGTATTTTAAGATTAATAATTGTACTACAGTGGTCTGAGAATCCTAATTCTTCGACTGTCGTATGCGAATATTTATTATTGAAGTTTGTAAAAATTAAATCTATGCAAGTTGATGATCAAGTGGCCGAAGATCGATCCCAGTGGCGTGCAATAGGAGAGGCCTATGTCCAGCAGTGGACTGAAAAGGGCTGATGATGATGATGATGATGAAGTTGATGAATTTTGTGTTATACGTGTAGGTTGTTTAACTTGTTGTGTAAAATTAAATTCTGACATTAGGTCTAAGAGATTTTTAGTTTTTGTGCTGTTTTGTTGTATATCAATGTTAAAGTCGCCTCCAAGAATTATATCATATTTAGAATACTTTTTGTTTATATGTGTTAGCATTTTATTTAATTGGTTATAAAATACGTCTTCCTCTCTTCTATTCCAGTATATAGTAATTAATAATATGTTTTCTTTAACTAGTTCGGTTGCGCAGGATTCTACAATATATTCAATGGACATTCTCGAGATATCTGTTTTTTCTACACAGTCTATATTTTCTTTTAGTAGGATGCAGGTGCCGCCACCTCCATGATTTTTCCTGCAGTACGATGCAGCCACTTTGTATCCAGTGAAGCTAATTAAATCAAGTTTTTCTTGTGAGAGCCATGTTTCTGTCATACATATTGCTTGATATTCCTGGGTTTGGTTTACAAAGGCTTCAATTATGTGTTGTTTATTGAATACGCTTTGAATGTTCTGGAACATTATTGTGAAATAATGATCGGTTGGTTTGGGATGAGGTGTTTTCTTGATATTTGCCGTTTCTAGATGTTGATCGGTATGTTCGAAAAGTATGATGTCCTTCGTCTCGAAATGTAGGGTTGATACTTTGGGTGTTTGTGTCTGTATCAGTGTTGCAATTTATTTTCTCTCCTTCTATATATAGTTCGTTGTTTCTTATTATGGCATAAAGGCCCTTCTTACGGGCTGCCAGCATTTTTTCTCGCATCTTGTGTCTTTCTTTCATTGATTCTTCATCAAGGAATTCGGAGATATAAAGTCCAGTACCACGGAAGTATTGACTATGTTGTACTAAGTATTTTGACATCTTTTTGCTTATCAACTCAATAACTAAGGGGCGGGTGTTGTTTTTGTATTTTCCGATTCTGTAAGTGTCTTCAATGTAGCCTAATAAGTCAACCTGCAGAATGTCACGGAATATGTTGAGGATTCGACTATGAAGTTCGTTTTCAGGCTCCTTATAAATTTCAGGAAGACCGTAGAGTACTATCTTTTTCAAATTGTTTTCAGGTGTGTATTTTTGTATGTATGTTTTATTCGATAGTATTTTTATTTCAGATTTTAGCATTTCTGTTTCTTTTTTTAAGTCTTCAATAGTATTGTTTAATATATCTATCTCTGTCTTACGCTGGTGGTTCTGTTCGAACAGGGAGTCTGTTTCTTTTTTCAAGTCTTCTCTTAACTTTATTATAGCTGAGTTAATTTCTTTTTGCACACTGTTTTGTATTTCTGTTATTATAGATATATTATTTTCTTTCAGTTTTAAGGATATTAGTTCGCTTAAGCTTTGCAGTGTTATTTGGGTCAGTGGTATTCCAGGTTCAGTGTGCTTTTCCATATTGATTGTGTTTCCAGATATAATTGTGTCGTCTGAGAATATTGTTTCGTTGTGTAGTGGTTGACTTGGTTTACTCCTTAGTGTAACAAATGCCTCTGGGGTACTGTTGTAATGGGTCGGAAGTTGAGGTCCTGCAGGTGTGCTGCAGTTGTTGTGTTTGGGTTTTTTACATCTGCATTCTTGACATTCCCACTTTAATTTCATTTCGTTAGTGAAATTATCATATTGTTTTTCAGTGATATTAGCGCATACAAAATCGTAACTTTCGTAGCACAGCGAACAAATCAGGTTAACTTTGTCAGGTATAAGTTGTTTGCAACCTGCACAGAGCGCCATCTCGAGGATTCTTGAGGTAGTAAGTAAGTTTCTTCGTAGCCCGAAGTTTAAAGAGAGTGTTTTTTCACCATATGTCTTAATTTTTGTACCATTGGCGGCATAAAGTATACATTGTTCATCTTGTATTAGTGAATGTCTCTGTGGCTTGCTAATAACTGAAATATTTGCTCCCGTGTCAATCAAAAATCTCATACCACTTTTTCGGTCGGTAATAGTGAGGCGGTTGGACGGGTGAATAGCACAGAGTTCCGCCGTTGTCCGTGCTTCAATTAGTTTCCCTGTTTCCTTGAGTTGAGATCCTGTTTCCAATCACAAGGTTGAACACACTTTTGTGCATATTTTTTAAATCTTCCATGGTAAAAACAAAAGTGCCTTCTTTCTCTTGAACTTGACTGTGGTAGGAAATGCCGACGATTGGAATAACTTTAGAGTGCTGCGTCGATAGTTTTTTTGACCTTGCTGAATTGCATTTAGTTCCAATTGCATTTCTGCTAACTGTGCTAGTATGCATGACATTGTATCGTCGCCAGATTTGTTTCCGTTTACAGCTGACACCTCTGTACGTGTTGAATTTATTAATATCTTGTCCGCGATCTGGCTCATCTTGTTCACATCTATGTCTTCTGTGACTGCTAGAACCGAAGTCACTGATGGTGGCAGAAGCCTCAACCATAGAAGTTTGATGGTTTCGTCGCTGATATTTCCGTTACTCAGGGTCCGCATCTTGCGCAGAAGATGTGATGGTTTCTGGTCGCCGAGATCCATTTCAGACAATAATTTTTGGAGCTGACGTTGGTCTGATTCCTCATAGCAACTGATTAGGCGTTCTTTGATAGCCTTGTACTTTTCTATTGGCGGTGGGCAAGTAATGAGGTCACTAACCTGTATTATTTCTTCTTTTGGCAGTTTTGCAATGACCGTATAGTACTTGTAATCGTCTCCTTGCTTCTGTGGTGCTACTATGGCTTCTAGTTGCTTAAACCATAATCTGGGTTGGTCCCTCCAAAATTCCGGAATACGGGATAAAATGGCGGTTCCGGCTGATATCTCCAAGGCTTCTTGTTGGCTGCTGCTTGATTTGCAGGGTGAATGAGTCATGTTGATTGTTCTTCGTCGGGGTCACCAATTTGCCAGACTTCGTGGCAAGGTAAATAATGAGACTGTAGATGGTTAAGGTCTGTTTATTACTTTAATTGCTGGTGCTTATATACTAAGAAGATGCGTGAGATTTTCAGATTTAGCTATCCTAACAAACGTGCAACAATTAACATGTATGTCTTATCTCTATCGTATCTAAGTAATGTAGCGACGTGATAGTGCCGCTACAGACCATATTACACATTACATGATTTTTTGTCCGACAGATGCATGAACAGCCATTGCCAAACTGCCATTTTACGTTTTGATGCAAAATACAAATAATATATTTAATACTTTTTTTTAATTCATGTAATAGATAATTTTTATTTTATTTAGTTAAGTAATTGATAATATAATTTAATTGATTCAGCAATTTCATAACAATAACTAATATAATTTTGTTCCAATTATTATTGTATGCCTAAAATGGTGGAGCAGTGCAAGAGCACAACAACCTGTAGAACAAATTCTTTAACTGCTGTCTCACAATAAAGATCTTTGACTCTTTGACTCGTGACTTGAAACTAGTAGCGCTTTCCTGAGTTATTACACATGAGTACGTCGTCATTTTAAATACATTTCAAAATTTTTTTACGGTTTTGTTCCTTGTCACATATCCTAAAAAACTCATATGGTACATAGAGACGTTTATACATATATATATATTAGATAAAATGCAAGTTTTTATTAATGTTCATGAATTTAAAAAATCTTTGGCATTCTACGAAAATTAGCTAAACCGAACCAACCGTTTTGGAATTTTAGCTAGACTAACAAACGGAAATCAAATTTTACGTAGGTGAGAAATCACTCTATCTAAATGCGTTGACAAAGTTTGTTAGAAAAAAATTATGGAAATGGAGGATGCTGAGGGACGACGAGGTTTGATGGGAATGTTGAGATATGATGAGGGATGATGAAGGATGCTGAGGGATGATGAGAAACGGAGCATGCTGAGGGATGATGTTGGATGCTGAGGGACGACGAGGTTTGATGGGAATGTTGAGATATGATGAGGGATGATGAAGGATGCTGAGGGATGATGAGAAACGGAGCATACTGAGGGATGATGTTGGATGCTGAGGGACGACGAGGTTTGATGGGAATGTTGAGATATGATGAGGGATGATGAAGGATGCTGAGGGATGATGAGAAACGGAGCATACTGAGGGATGATGTTGGATGCTGAGGGACGACGAGGTTTGATGGGAATGTTGAGATATGATGAGGGATGATGAAGGATGCTGAGGGATGATGAAGGATGCTGAGGGATGATGAGAAACGGAGCATACTGAGGGATGATGTTGGATGCTGAGGGACGACGAGGTTTGATGGGAATGTTGAGATATGATGAGGGATGATGAAGGATGCTGAGGGATGATGAGAAACGGAGCATACTGAGGGATGATGTTGGATGCTAAGGGACGATGAGGTTTGATGGGAATGTTGAGAGATGATGAAGGATGCTGAGGGATGATGAGAAATGGAGCATATTGGGGGATGATGTTGGATGCTAAGGGACGATGAGGTTTGATGGGAATGTTGAGAGATGATGAGGTATGATGGAGGATGCTGAGGGTTGATGAGGGATGCTAAGGGACAATGAGGGATGATGTGAATACTGAGGGATGATAGGGGATGCTGAGGGATGATGGGGGATGCTGAAGGATGATGAGGGATGCTGAGGGATAATAAGGGTGATGCGGAGTTCCTTACTAACCTTCGAGGCGGGAGTACCGCGGATGCTCGTCGCAGCACGAGGGCTGCGGGCACAGCGCGCTCGCCGACCGGCAGCAAGCTGACTCCGAGATACAGCGCCCAGACGAGCAGTTCAACTTATCGCTGCCTACATACACACACAAAGTCAAAGTCAAATTACACGACTATAGGCACTTTTGAATGTCAAACAAAAAAATTTATCAATAAAGTTCAACTTTGTGTGTGTCAGTCTGTCGGTCAGTCCTCTAGTAAAGTTATTTGCTCGTTCCAAAGTGTAGATTCCGATGGAGAAGAACGAGCAAGAAACTCCATGGTTACTCTTTTTTCAATCAGTTTTACAATTCATTTCTTTGTTACATCATTTAGTAGGTTCTATTATGTGGGAACAGTGTAACACTAACATTTAGTCTAAGAATCGGAAAAAGATAATAAACTCATGAAAAAATAAAAAGACTTGCCAAGGACCTTTACATTACCTAAAACGATAGACTATAGTACAATATACGTACGGGCACAGCCGAGCGGCGGACACATGTGTCCGGCCTCGTCCTCCCCGCGCTGGCAGTCGAGCCGTCCGTCACATACATACTGCGCCGCTATACAACGCGTGCCGCACCAGAACGCGCCGCGCCGGCAATACGTTGGACCTGAGTCATATTTAAATAACATTGGACCCAAAATACTACCTTGAGGTACTCCTAGCAAACTCTTTATTGCTTCAGAAACATTTTATTAGGGGCTATCCATAAATTACAGGGACACATAAAGGGAAGCTTAAACTACGATCTCTAACCTAGCTACCAAGCGTGGAGATTATAGTAATTCCCTTTTATTCATTGATAATGATAACTTAGAAGTGGGCAGAGGATGCTACCCTGTGGCATTCCATGAAGAAATCAACATAATTCTATTATTTTTTGCAACAAATGAAAGCGAGTTGAATTGAATATAAAAGCCTGTCATAATTTCCAATAAACTTGGTTATAAATTTAAACCCCAAGCTGATCATTTTAGCATTTAAAATTATTGTAGGTTACCAGAAAGCTCTCTGCGATCCCTAAAACTACAGTTTGTGCTTACCCCGTGTCTGGACGAGTATGTACTTGGTGACGCTGAAGGGCGGCGCCGAGCACATGTACTGGCCGCTGTCCGACTCTTGCAGGTCGAACTTGATCAGTGTACTGTTCACCGCTGGGCCTTTCGGGTCACCTTTCAAGATCCTGGAATTTAAAGGGTTTGGTTAAAACTAGGGCGAGAAAGAGCGTAAAAACGCCATGCTTTGACACGAGCGAAGTGATACCACAACTTCAAAGAAAACCCGCGTGAAACTACCATATAATTTTTTCGCCGTGTGAGTGAGGTTACCGGAAGCCCAATCACTCTCCCTGCCCCTCCCCTATCCCTTACCGATCCTTATATCCGCAACTCTTATCCCCAAAAGGCCGGCAACGCACTCGTAACTTCTTTGGTGTTGCGGGTGTCCATGGGCGGCATGGATTGCTTACCATCAGGTAATCCGTCTGCTCTTTTGCCGAATTATTCCATAAAAAAGGCTTAAATAAATACTCACTGGTCGCCACTAGTGGAGTTATCGTCCATATAGTTCCAGACGTAGACGCGGGGCGCGGCCGACGTGTCTCCGCGCAGCTCACACACCAGCGTCAGGGTGTCGTGCACCCGGCGCACCACCACGTCCGTGTACTCCGGCTCCCCGGGCGAGTACAGCGCCAGCCAGGGGCCCGGGAGGTCGCCTGAACCTGAAACCAACAGCATTCCATTTAAGTCCATTTTCTATAAGACAGTGGTACGAATTAAGAAAATACAAAACATCGTCATTTTGTTTAAACATTAGTCGTGATGGCCTGGGTTCGATACCTGGCAAGTAGATACCAATGTGACTTTTTCCGAGTTATATAAAAGTACTTTTATGATTATTTATACGCCACTAACATACGTTGAAGAAAACCTGGACTTATAATTTCTGAATATAGGTTTGAAATCGCCAATCCGCCTTGAATAAGCGTGGTGAAACCTTCTCCTAGTGGGAAGAGGCCTTTGTTCAGCAGTAAGCATTTATAAGCTATTAATGATGATGACGTCAAATGGGATTGGTCAGCTCAAAACTGTCTTTATATTAATATTGTCCTTGATTTTACTTTCTTTACCAATTTCTTTGGCTAAACATATATATTTGTACGCAATTTCTTATACAGATTTCACATAATGGAACAACTTGGTAATTTAACAAAGAATCTGTCGCGTCCTCCATCAAAAACTTTATCAATTCTACGATAGATTTTGAGTGTGGGAGAGCCATACTTCGGCACGAATAGTTCGGCTCGGAAAAACGGCGAGAAAAAACCACAGCGTTGTGTTTCGCCATGAGAATGAGGTTACCGGAGGCCTAACCCTTTTCCTCCCCCGTTCCTAATACCCAAAAAAAATTGGCAATGCAGGCAACTCCTACGATATTACAGATGTCCATGGGCGGCGCTCATTGCTTACCATCAGGTAATCCGTGGACTCGTTTGCCGTCGTATCAGATAAAAAAATGACGACATACGAATGGTTCTCAGTGACCACACTAATCCTACTAAAACATCGGCAAGCCAGCGTAATGTAAACACAAGTATAATATGTAGAACTCATTACACAGTCCACTTATCACGTAGCTATGTAGGTATTAGTGATGTTCCGAATATACGTTACCGTATCCGCGGATATCCGAGGGATAAGTAAAATCAGTAACCGTTACTTTTCACAGTGATATTTTACGGATCTTTTTCGGGTAATCAGTAAGAATTAACAGCGGTAGCTATCAAAAAATATTTCCAAATTACACTGAAAAACTTCTAACAGTCGATTAAAACAATTAAGATCCGTATCCGTATGCGCGGATCTTTTTTTCCTTTTCTTTAAAAAAACGTTGCCCCACACTAAGGTTTTCTCCTGTGTCGTGGGTGCGGTTACAAACATACAATTTCACATACAAATGAACACTCAGACTCGGGAACAACAATTTGTTGATCACACAAAGAGTTGTTCCGTGCGGGAATCGAACCCGCGACACGTCGCACGGCAGCCAGTTGCATCCATCTTGACACCAAATATCCGAATCCGCGGATATACATTTTTAGCAATCCGGCACATCACTAGTAGGCGTGTATGTTAGAGCACACCTGGACCGGACGCTGGTACATTCAGTATTTAATTGATACTTTACGCATGACTCAGCTTTATCTTGCATATTAATATTGTCTTAACAATTTTATTATAATTAACTGCATAGTTGCCGCGATGGAAAACCGGATGGCTTTTTTTATTTAATAAGTCTATGCGGTACGCAAACAGCGCTGTCCATGGACATCCGCAAAAACAGGGGAGCAACGAGGACGTTTCCGACCTTTTGGGGATTAGATATTTGTAGATATCGGTATTAGGGAGAGGTTGGCGGAAGGGAATCGATTCGGTCTCCAGTAGCCCTATTCAGACGGCAAAATCTTGCTGACTAAACACCCCCGTCCCTTCAGCTCAAGGTCGAGGCTGCACCTTTTAGTGCTTAACCCGCAAACTGCGCTTTTTTGTCTAGGGAAAACGATCAAATGGCTTCTCTATACTTATAAACGAAATCACGAGACAGGAGAAAATAGAGTGGGACTTTTTTTGGAGCGGGAATATCATGAAAATTCTTCTCCCGAGCGAGAGGGGGAGTGTTAGACTCTTACTGACTAAAAACTAACCCGTTCTTTCTCCTTCTCTACCGACGCCGCGGTACGCTATTACGCTTGAACCCACAACGTGGGCATGGCGAGGTTTTTTTTTCTATACTAATATTATAAAGAGGTAAAATTTGTAAGTTTGTATGTAGGGGGTAATCTTTGGAACCGCTTGTCGGATTGCCAAAATTCTTTCACTGATCGATAGCTACAATGTTCCTGTGTGCTATAAAACATCACGCTACGATCAAATGGAGCTGAGCAGTGAGCTGAAACCGACAGTAGCTAGTATGATATATGTCGGCAAACGTGTAGACGGTTTACCTGATGGTAAGCAATCAGCCCCGCCCATGGACGCCCGCAACGGAGGAATTACGAGTGCGTTGCCGACCTTTAGAGCGAAGATTGGGGAAGGGGAAGGATTGGGCCTCCGGTAACCTCAGCCACAGGGCGAAACACAACACTGTGGTTGTTTCACACCGGTTTTCTGTAAGGCCATGGTATCGCTCCGGTCGAGCCGATCCATTCGTGCCGAAGCATGGCTCTCCCACACTTAAAATTGGATTGATCATTCTATTATGGCGCCCCATACAGCTTTATTTCCTTGATTTAACGTGATAGAATAAGTCTATAAAATATTACTGTAACAGACTTATTTTATTAACGACAATAATTAATGTCTGTCTGTCTCTACGTCGACAGAAACGTGCTACACGTGTGAATATTCTGATTAGCAACAACTTGCGACATAAACAATTGTCTGTTTGTTTGTTGGAGGTATGCTTAAAAACCGATGAACGGATTCTAATGGTATTTTCAACATTGGATAGATATGTTCTTGACGTTACAAGCAAAGTTTTGAGCGCCTGGCCTGAAACTAATTCGTTACTTAACTTACACGACATTACGCAGCAGACGGATGCGCTGATGGTAAGCAATCGGCGTCGCCCATCTACACCCGCAATTTCAGAAGAGTTATCGTTGCGTTACCGAATTTTTGGACATTTTGAGATTAGAGAGGTATTGAGGGATTGGGGGAGGATACGGATTGGGCCTCCGGTAACCTCACTTAAACGGCGAAACAACGCTGTGGTTGTTTCACACCGGTTTTCTGTGAAGCCATTTCTCCGGGCAAGTCAACCTATCCGTGCCGAAGCATAGCTCCCCCACATTATACTAAAAACAATTCCAGACTTTATGGTATTAATAAAAAAATCCGAAACCCTAAAAAATACAAAAGGACTGCGCCATCCAGAAACAAAAATAGGGTTGCTCTTACTTGGCCCAAACACAGCTAATAAGGCAGAAATAAAGATAAATATTCAAAGAAAAACCAGTTAGTGATCATTACAGCTATCAACAGATAACATCCGCAATAAAATAATTAACATTTTTAATCACACAGTCTTGTCAGTAATTATTTATTGTAATAAAACTTTTTATATCCCCATAAACTGTGTTACCACATGAATAAACAATTATGACATTACATTGCCATAAAAATATTAATTACTTTTAATGTTTGTTTTCTTTACTTGGTGATAAAAGAAACATATTAATTTAATTTCATTTGTCATTCTGTGTAAAAGTGAAGTCAAAAAAAATCATTTATTCCAATTAGACCCTTACAGGCAGACTTTTGAATGTCAAACAAAATTTTAAAGATATAGTGTCAGTCTGTTGGTCAGTCCTCTTAGTGAAGCTATTTGCTCGTTCCAAAGTGTAGATTCCGATGGAGAAGAACAAGCAAGAAACTCCATGGTTACTCTTTTCAAATCAGTTTCACAAACAGATTCCTTATACAAACAAACAGTTGGTTCAATTATGTGAGAACAGTGTAACACTAATATTTATTCAGAGAAATATATAAAAAGAAATGTATTTACTACAAATATATAGATATGTCATTAAGAAATTTTCACAGATAATATATTCCTATAACAACAAGTACTTGACTGCACATCCGCACAATTCTTTTGTGTAATCCACAAATTGTTTCCCCAGATCTCAGTGTTATGTGTATGTGAAATTGTATATTTGTAAACACACAGATGACAGAGGAAAAAACAGTATGCGGCAACATTTACAAACTTATGGATGATTGGCCTTTCAGTATGAAGTCCCATTACATGCAATTTTGAATAAATACAATAATTTTTAATAAAAAAAAAACTGACTTTAAAAGTAAACTAAAAAGCAAAAAAATATTTTCTTGTTGTTCAATCTTCTATTTTATAATCTTGAGTTCAGTGCCAAGCATATATATGGACGAATTGAGAACCTCCCTACTTTTTGGAAAACGGTTAAAAAACATAAAAAAAAATGCTAGCTTGATATTACATCCACTCACTTAGCTAGTTTTCAAAGGTACCTGGTGCATTTGTTTTAATCAAACAGTTGTTTTAATCTATCCTAATATTATAAAGAGGTAAAATTTGTAAGTTTTTAAGTTTGTATGTTAATATGTAGGGGGTAATCTTTGGAACCGCTGGTCGGATTTCCAAAATTCTTTCGCTGATAGATAGCTACAATGTTCCTGAGTGCTATAGGCTATAAAACATCACGCTACGAGTATATGGAGCCGAGCAGCGGGTGAAACCGGGCGAGAGTAGTTAGTAAGACATAAATTTGGCTTTTTGATGCAACCAATCATCTACTAAAATGTCTAGCAAGTTGGAACATGATCTGTAACTTTAATTATTGTTATCTATTCAGGTGTTGATAAAAAAATTATATTATGATTCATGAAATCCTTATACTGAGACATTTTTAAAAATAATTCTTACTACATATTTGTATTAATGTAATTAAACTATTTGTTTATTTATACTATCTACATGCACATACATTTGGTAGGTATTTACAAGTTTAGACAAGGCTAAAATAGTCTAATTCTGGCAGGCAAAGTCGCGGGTAAAAGCTAATTAAAATAATGTAATATTTTGCCTGAACCTACTCAAGAGACTGCAAGTTTCGGAATGTTTTTGAAAAATCCAGTTTGTAGTGTCATATCACAGATTTGAAGAGTTTAGCATAAACAAAACAAAAAGGATAGTGGAGCAAAAGAGAAAGGATCTCCACCTAACGACGTTCCATAGTTACCGTTACCAAAACTAGCTGACGAAAATTCTGAAAAGGCAAATATTTTTTACGCAAAACAACATTTTTCCTGGTGCATCCTGAGATACACACTGCACGATTAGGCATGAACCTTGTCCTTAATTGATAACTAAAGCTAGCAACCATGGTCATAACACTTTTCAAGGCTAAAAAACCTGTATTGAATCAAAAAAAATATTTGGTGCATGCCAAATTTAATACAAAAAACTTAACATCGTTAGTTTGATAATAGCACTTACAGAACTACTACTTACATGTTTTTGTACTAAACAGAAGTGGAATAATACACGATAACAAACAATTGGACAACGAAAACATTTTTATTTACTTTTTAAACATTTTCAACTATTGACATTCAACACATTACGCCATTTTTGTTTCTTTAGGTATATACGTTTCGTTTGACGTCGGCATTTAATTAATTTGAAACTTTCAGTTAAAATTTTATCATAATTTCTATTTATTAAATAAGCGAAGTAAAATTCAATCAAGTTTAAAAAATCTAACTACAATCGCATAATTTAATAATGTGATAACGCCACGATATATTCTTTGAATGTTTCGACATCAAATACTAATATGCGTAGAACGGGAAGTATGAATTGAAGGGTAGTTCGATTTACGCTTTTTAATATAACAAGTATGACAGGGTACTTAGGCTTGAACATCAAATGGACGATATATTCATTCTCTCAATATTTGCATATTTTAGCTGTTGAAAATTCAAAATAAGCTACAAAGCAAACTAGTTTCTAAAATATAAAGTTAAGGCAATAGAGTTTCTAAAACGCTTAGATAAGAATGTAAAATGGAACGTGGTAAAGTGTCATCCTACCTTTACTGACATTGACATCGACGACCGAACATTTTATCGATTTTTAGAATGTTGTGGATGTTAGAAAGAGTTAGCGAAACACAATCCATGTTTGCAAGACAAGGATACAATAAAGGTTATGTTGACAATTGACAATATTTTTGTGTGATTCAGAATTCAGACACAAGTAGTCATAAAAATCTGTCAATTTCAGACTGTTTGATAGTTTACGGAGAGTAGAAAGTGTTTCTAAATAGTTAATTTCTTTTAAGTAAACAAAATGGATCTAGCCCGACTACCTAACGACAAGAAATTACAACTTTGCCGGTGGTATTTCAAAGGTATTGTATATAAATATTTTTGTTTGTGTTCTTATTTTGGCTCTTGTTAAACAGGCCAGAGACATCGGTAAATATATTTCCATGTTATGGTCAAATACACATCATATCTCATTTCTAGGAAAACTATCCAATAAAGAATGATTTAGAACAATTAGTTATGATAAGTAGTAAATAAAAAAAACATGTTTGTTCATCATAAATTTATGTTATTGATAGGTACCTATGATTATACGAAACTATAGATAATTAATATAAGCCTTTATAAGACCGTCCCTGCAGTAGAACACATGGACATGAAGATATGTCTGGCTTAATTTGACAGTATAAGAAAAATGTCTTCCATTTGTCTTTGTGTGGGTGGTAAGTATTAAGTGTAGGTTGATATTACAACTCATACTCTTTTTATTGTGATATTTTATCATCAATTCATCTCTATTCACTGATTTTTATGGGCAATCAAGCAGACATGGTAAGCAACCAGTGCTGCCCATTGTCATTCAACCCACGATAGTATTTGTTTTATTTTAATTTCTGGGGCTAATGAATAAATCTGTCTCAACAACTCAACTCTGGCGACAGTTGCCTATGAAAGTAAGTTCTTTTCTATGATTTTAAATTACCTTTATTGTTATATTTTTTGGATGGCTGATGCAACAGATGTTTTAAAGCGCAACTGCCAAACATGAGCCGTATATTTCATTTAGATATTTCCCTAAGAAAGATAAGTCTTATTTTATTGTCTAACTTCCACTAGTGTCCAGACCATGGAACATATTAATCGTCATGTAAAAAAAAAAATAAGCAAACCATTTTCGAAAATAACATATTTATGGGCAATTGGGTAGTTTCCTAGGTCAAATATTAATTAATTCGAGGTTTCAATACAATAAAATATTGAAAAATAACTATACTTTTTTCATTGATCCATCAATAAACTAAATTTTAGATATTTTTTTAACTAATTTTTAAGAAATAAGTAAGCTATTCGATGCAAAAATACTTTGACGTCATCACTCAGTATTACATACAAACACAGAAAATTATCGTTTTTGACATTTGGATAAAAGTATTGAATTTGACTAGTTGGAAAGTACCATATTTTAATAACAAAAATTTTATGAGCATATTCTCAAAAACGGTTGTATTTGAGGGTAGAGTGTCAATGGGAAAAGATGGGTATAATATACACTTTAATCAGATCAAGGTTGACTTCAAGTAACTAATTATTTAAAACGATTTATTGATATTTTAGTGGGCTGCCTGCTGCTTCCATTTGTGTGGGCCGTGAATGCTATCTGGTTCTTCAAAGAGGCATTCCTTAAGCCTCCGTATGATGAACAGAAACAAATCAAGAAATGTGAGTATTTATAATTTTATTATTTGAGAAGTATGTAAGTAGGCTTTTTTCTACTTTTCTTGAGGTTGAGGTTGAGGTGCAAGTGAGTGTCAGACTCTTACTGACTAAAAACCCTGCCATTTATCATTGCTCTGCTCTAGGAAAGCAGATGATGTCTTGTTTTCTCTAGTTATGTTATAAGATATAGCTAGGTAATTTAACACAGAGTTAGATAGCTAGCCTAGTTTTCTTAATTCTAATGCGACCAACATGTTTATAATGTTCAGTGCTGTGATTGGAAATAAATGAGTAATTGTATTTTGTATCCCTGTGTGTCGCTATTTTTTTCTCTATCTGCCCTATCACCTGATGGTAATTAATCGATGGCCCCGATGGACACCCGCAAAACCATCGAAGTTGCAAGTGCGTTGTCGGCTTTTTGGTGCTTGGGATTAAGGATTGGGGTAGAGAAAGGATTGGGCCTTCGATACCTCACTCACACGGCGAAAAAAACGCTGTGGTTCTTTTACGCCGCTTCGCTCTGAGGCCGTCTTATCATTCCTCTCGAGCCGAATCATTAATCTTCCACACATAATAATCTTTCCAATTCCAATTTCCCAGATGTCCTAATGAGTGCAGTCGGAGCTATAGCCTGGGTGGCTGTGTTTGCTGTCTGGATCACGGTCTTCCAGCTGCAGAGGGTTTCCTGGGGCGCTACAGGCGACGCCCTCTCCTTCATAGTGCCGCTTGGACGGGCTTAGTGTGAAGTGCAGTGATATTAGCGATGAAGTGAAGTGACAAGTGAACTATTCTATAGAGATTTGTGTACTCAAGATCAATTCACGCTGAAACATGAAGATTCTGTTAACGCCAGTCGCTAAACGCGTCGCATTAAATATGTATTTTATAGCGTAGGCAATAAAGTTGAATGTTAATTTTAAATTTGCCCACGCTACGCCAATCGTGCAATCAAATCATCATTCATGTCCGGTCCATCATCATCATGCTGAGCAAAGGCCTCTTTTCACACATAGTAGGTTTGAGCACTACTCTATCACTACTTCAGCTCAGGCCCGTTAGAGATTCCAAATTATATGTCCAGGAGGTTTCCTCACGATGTTTACCTTCACCGTATGTCAGTGGTGTCTAAATAATCATAGAAAGTACATATAACTCGGAACGCAATTTTTGACAGCCACCCTAACGCTTAAGTACGGTTAGCGTAGCTTATTATTATATATATTTTTAACATTATATATGTGTGTGAGAGGCTGAAGATATGTATAAGCAAAATGTTCATTTCTATATAGGGTGACTGGTGATTAGTGACAGCTATTTAAATACGTGATTGTACTCATGATAACAAACAACTATCCCAAAGAAACTTTTTCTGTACTCATTAGTTTTATTACTAACTAACTACTTATCCAAACTTTGCGCGTCCGCCGTGCGTCGCCCGATCATCTATGCTATTCTCAAAAGTTAATTTGCGAAATCACTTTTGAATCCGCGGTGAAATCATGTTTATTTAAAGTTTCGTATTCTCAAATGGAGTGACATCTACACTGGCGCCACCATGTGAATAACGAAGTGAAAGGAACTAAAACAAGTGAGTATTTTGACGTTTGTGTACAGGCGAGATGAGAAGCGAAGTGTTGTGTGACTTTCGAGGTGAGATTAACCATTTACAGAATAGCACTGCAGCTGTTAGCGGCTGTTAAGGCTCCGCGTGACCAAGTTTGAATTTTGCACAGCTAGTAATTTTGTAAAGAAAACTATACTATTTTTTTTTTATTTTATACTTATTAAAGACATTTTATATTGCTAAGAGCAATCTCGATTAAGTTGAACATTCCCTTTCAGTGAGACCCCACTAGATATACTAGATATCTGCAGACCTTCGGTTATCCTTCCCCACTTGCACCCCCATAACTTCTAAACGGCTCAACCGATTTTCATCAAACATGTCTAAGAACACTCGCACGTAAGGCTAAGAACTCACGGAGCGATTTTAAACCGTGCCCGCCGCGGTAGCGTAACTGCGGTTTATTTTCCAAACTCACGAGACCGGTTATTTGCGCGGTTACACAGCCGCCGCGGTTGCGATCATCGCCCGCAAACGTGGCGATAGCAAGACGGGCGGTTGACGATCAGTTGAGGTCCAGACCGCCATGGACCCACACCAGAATCGAGCCGTTGCGTTATATTTACTTCACAGAAGACCCGCCGGCCCCCGCGGGCGCTCGCCAACCGATCGCAAAGCGCGCGGGTGCCACCCGCCGAGGCTGCGGGTAACCGCGGCCCGCGCGATTCTACTAGTTGCCCGCCGGTACAGCGGGAGCCGCATACAACCGCGTATACCGCGGGCGTAAAACGCGTCGTGAAATGTGCTTTAATTTTTTATATAAATATTTGAATTCTACAGAAGCTGCGGGCCCGCAACCGCAGCGGACGCGGGCGAAAATCGCTCCGTGAGTTCTTAGCCTAAGACACCTTTAATACAATAAAAACTAAATTGAAATCGCTTCAGCCGTTCAGGCTCCAGGATGCCACAGACAGCTAACTTATAACACCCCTCTCTTTTCGTCGTGGGGTAGTTGTTTGTTATCATGAGTACAATGACATGTTTAAATATTGGTCACTATAAACTAATATTTTTGTATATAAGCCAAGGTAACTTGTAAATGTCTGTCAAAGGAAAATGAACCTTGTTTCTTTAAAGTTTCAGTTGGATTTTAAATGTGAAAATGATTTAGTAATATTGTTTAATGAATTTGGACTTTATTGCGTATTTGTTTAAAGTTCATGTCAGCTTATTTACACTCTTGTATTAAAAAATAATTTATAAGTTATAAAGTATTTTGTTAATATGTAATTGAAATGAAATAAAGACAAAAATTCAAATTGTAATTCTTTATTTATTTATAAAAACATAATATTTTTGTACGATTATATATACAAAACTAAATATTATAGGTAATATAAATGCTAAAACATTATAGTATTTAAAAACGTAACATCAAGCTTTTTAGCCCCCAATGAGGGTAGGCAGAGCAGGTTACAAAACTATAAAAATACCTTTTAACATCGATAACGGACATTTCCAGAAATCACACATACATAATACAAACAAACAAAAAATGAAACATGAATTACCTAACCAGGGAATCGAACCTACGATCATCGGGCCAGTGTAATCTACTACGTTGCCAGGTTATTACCGTAGACATGATGACGTCATTCATAATTGTAAAATTTGTCAATGTGTTATAGTGTACGGAATGACTATAATAGTTACTAACACAACAAAAACTACGGCCAAGCGATTTTTTTTTATATTAATATAATTGTAAAACAAATAAACTGCAACAAGCGTTGGGTTTGTAAATAAAGATTTTTTTTTATGTTATTGGTCGGCAAACGAGCAGACGGATTACCTGATGGTAAGCAATCAGCGCCGCCCATGGACACTCGCAACGGAGGAGTTACGAGTGCGTTGCCGACCTTTTAGGGATAAGGGATTTGGAGATTTAGGGATTGAGGAGGGATTGGGGGAGGAGAAGGATTGTGCCTCCGGTAACCTCACTCACACGGCGAAACACAATGCTGTGGTTGTTTCACGCCGGTTTTCTGTGAGGCCGTAGTATCACTCTGGTCCAGCCGACCCATTCGTGCCGAAGCATGGCTCTCCCACACTTAAATATACCTACAGATATTTATTTGACACATTGTTTTTATTAAAATATTAATTAAATAATACTTTTAAGACATTTTTAGATGTTGACGAAATAAATATTACGATACAAATTAAGGATTACCCAAATGAAATTATACAGAAACGAGATCCGAATCCGTGACCGGATCAGATCAGACTCGTCGAGTCGTTATAATATATCTATTAATATCTAACTTATAATGCACTAGCTTTTGCCTGCGTCTCCGTTCGCGTGGAATAGTGACTTCCTGCAGATTTTGGTATAAAAACTCTTGTGTCCTTTCTCGAGTTTCAAACTATCTCTGTGTTTCTCTGAAATTGGTTCAGTAGTTTAGGCGTGAAGAAAAGACAGACAGACAGAGTTACTTTCGCATTTATAATATTAGTATAAATAACTAGCTTCCACCCTTGGCTTCGTCCCGCGTAGTGTATAAAAAGCAGCCCATGTGTTACTCCAGGGTATAACCTATCTAAAAACCAAATTTTAACAAAATCGGTCCATCTGTTTTTGTGTAAAAGTAACAAACATACATCCACACATTTTCACAAACTATCACATTTATGTATATAATACTAGTAGGATTATTTATATAAAATGCAAGTTATAATTCAATATCAGTATTAATTATTTCCTAATACAATTATCAATGTCGACTTACACCCTGTTTCCGAAAGGTCGATCAATCATCAGTCATCTGATTGGTTGACTGAATTATCAACAACCAATCAAATGACTTGACAAGATATTTAACAGGATATTAGTTAATTTTAGCATTGACTAGCCTTTCAGAAACCGGGTGTTAGACTTACATTATATTTCTTTGTAAAAATTATTATTCATTTGTTTGAATCATAGACGACTCAACCTAAAGACTGCGCTTTGCCAGGCATATGCATTCACCAAGGTTAGGCAGTGACACTGCATAAGAGCCGGCCCCGCCCCTTTCTGTCTGAAAAGCAATAACCAATGGTGTAGATATACGAAGAGATTAATTTAATTTAATTAGTTTAATAATTAATTAGTTAAGAACAGCTTAAAACGAATAAAAATTAAGAAAATTCCCAAAAAAGGTGGAAAATACATCATGTCACTTCCACTCTGGGTGAGAGAGCGTCTCTTTCCTGGGCCGGAGAAGACATTTGATGATTTTGCCCTCACAAAAAAAAAAATGTTAGAGTCTTACTGACTATGAACCTCCCTGTTATTACTGTCCTGCTCCAGACCCAGGCCGCGGTACCTACATTAATGCGCTTGACCCACAACACCGGCTGAAAATTAGCCCCATTGGGCCCCATCTGTAATTTTCATTTCTACCAGCGGCTTCACCTACAGCACCAGGAAAACAGGGAAAAAAGCCTATGTTACTCTAGACTATAATCTATCTCTGTGCCAAATTACATTCAGATCCGTTCAGTAGTGTTTAAGTGAGAGAGTAACAAACATACATCCGTACTTACAGAATTAAATATCGTCTTAACCTGTCCCCTGCCCCCCTGTCCCTATGCAGAGATAATGGGACGTCCAATGCCAAGATCCTCTCATACCTCTTTCGCTTCTTCTACATTATTTTGTAGGTCTGAGGCAGTGAAATATCGCAGATTAACTCTTTTAGACTTCTTTATTAAATTTAAATTACACAGAGACCTCTTATTCGTTTTACAGTTGTCGCCATCTTGCTTTTCCCCCTCCATCCTTCCTCTCTCTCACACACATACGTCGTCTCGCTCATGTCTCACTCATGCTTAATATTCTACCACTAAGTTAACATTTTGGAATCCTACAACTTCAATCTCTTTATGCATAGGTACTCATGTTACTCATCCATAGAGGGCGATTTTAATTAGACCCTTTTTTTATCTATACTATTATTATAAAGAGGTAAAATTTGTAAGTTTGTATGTAGGGGGTAATCTTTGGAACTGCTGGTCGTATTGCCCAAATTCTTTCACTGATCAATAGCTACAATGTTCCTGTGTGCTATAGGCTGTAAAACATCACGCTACGATCAAATGGAGCTGAGCAGCGGGTGAAACCGCGCAAGAGTAGCTAGTTTCAAATAGGCACAACAAGCACTTTTGATCGTCAAACAAAATGCGTGTCAGTCAGTCGGTCAGTCCTCTAGTGAAGCTATTTGCTCGTTCCAAAGTGTAGATTCCGATGGAGAAGAACGAGCAAGAAACTCCTTGGTTACTCTTTTTAAATCAGTTTTACAATTCTATTATGCTGATATACCTATTAAATTTATCTCTGCATGACCCAAAGGTTTGGCTGTTAGAGAATGCCCATGGCATTAAGCACACCTTTGTACATTTTTTTTGAGAATAAAGATATTAAATAAATATATGTGCAAACTTTCGCGTAAATAATATTATTAGGATGATTTTTTCTGAAGGGGGAATATCATCGTATGGATTCTCGCGTCCTGTGTGTGGATAGAGGGAATGTCAGACTTACTGACGAAAATCTCACCCCGTTCCCTCTTTTACTCCGGGCCAGAGGGGCCGCGAAACATTATAACGCTCGGTACACAACCTTGGCTATTAGGATACTAACAACAGTATTTGTGATAGAAAGTTGTAGGTATAAGCGCACGGGCAATGCTGATACTAAGTTTCCCCACTATTTAATGCATCTTATTATACATATAAACCTTCCTCTTCAATCACTCTATCTATCAAAAAAATCCGCATCAAAATCCGTTGCGTAGTTTTAAAGATTTGCATACATAGGGATATAGGGACAGAGAAAGCGACTTTGTTTTAAACTATGTAGTGATATTAGTGGAATTAATTTAGAACGTAACTTTCTTTGGAATATTTCTTAGTTTTTATTAGTTCTGCCACGTTTTAAGCTTTTCTTTAATAATTAAATGTCATAATTTTTTATTGCATCCACAATGTACCCTGGATCATGATCATGGACCCTGATTGGCACAGCAAATAGTAAATTAGAAGAGAGGCAGGCTTGTTTTATATAGAATTATGCTCAAGTATGTCAACATAAACAAAGAAAAATATATCTCGCATAGACTTTGTCTTTAAATTACAAACGCCTGTTTAAGCACCTTGATGATAAAGTTGCCAACAACTTATATGACACATATCTCATACAAATCATGTTATTTATCTCATAAAATGACTGAACATCGAGTTATATAAAACCAGAATATCTTGGTCTCTCTCCCTATGATCTTTTCACGAATATAAAGGTCAGTTTATACTGGTTTTTCCTGCTATAAATTGTGAAAAAGGCTCAAAAATAATTAAAAAAATTAGACAAAGATTTTGTTGATATTTTTAATATTTGAATTTTATTAATTAGTCCTATAGAATGGCACAGTAACTGTGCGTATACTGTGCGGTCACGGTGCGTATACGGCGCGGTTATTGTGCGTTTACTCGACGCGTACTCGCGGCGGAGACGCCATGCGCCTCTCCTGTTTGATTTTCAGCATTTCAGTGTATGCTATCCTGTGGAGTGAAAGAAAGAAAATATATTAGACAAATCAGGATTAATTATTGCGAGGAATTACAAGACGGTACGGATTTGTAAAACATAAATTAAGTGTGGGAGACCCAAGCTTCGGCACGAATGGGTCGGCTCGACCGGAGTGATACCACGGCCTCACAAAAAACCGGCGTGAAAAAACCATAGCGTTGTGTTTCGCCGTGTGAGTGAGGTTACCGGATGCCCAATCTTTCCCCTCCCTAAATCACTAAATATCTATAAATCTCCATATCCCTAATCCCTAAAAGGTCGCCAACGCACTCGTGACCCCTCCGTTGCCATGGGCGGCGCTGGTTGCTTACCATCAGGTAATCCATCTGCTCGTTTGCCGACCTATTACATAAAAAAGGGGGCAGGGATCGGGCCTTCACTAACGTCTCTCACAAGACGAAACACAACGCTGTGGTTGTTTCACGCCGGTTTTCTGTGAGGCCGTGGTATGACACCGGTCGAGGCGACTCATTCTTTTCTTTATTTGTGAATGTTGGTAAATCGCCTTATTAACTTTAGACCTTTGGCCTTTGGACTTTGTTGAAATTTTGTGCAATTTAATAAAACTATATACTTAGACATACCTGAGCAGCAGAAAGAGCGCCATGAAGTTGCACGCTATTAGCATGTAGAAGACGTGGGTCCACGAGTGGGACGATACCACGCCAGCCAACATTGGACCTATCGCCGCGCCTTGGGGGACACATACGAAAAACATCATTCAGAATCTTAAAATAAAGGTAAAAAATACATATTTATGTTAAAGAATTACACATCATCAGCCAAAGGTGCTTACTTCTGAGCAAAAGCCTTTTCTCACACGGAGAAGGTTTGAGCATTAATGACCACGCTTGCCCAAGGCCAGTTAGAGATCTCGAAGTTAAAATTAGAAATTAAGTCCAGGTTTCCTCACGATGTTTTCCTTCACCGTATACCAGTGATATTATGTGTAATTTAATGAAAAAGCCGCAATTCCCAATATTTTTGAACGGACTGTCATCGTTTTTGTGAGGAGAAACAGTGTGAGTGTGACGTCAATCGCTTAACATTAGGATTAGGTGATAAGTAGAGTATTTAGTCGCCCTAAGTCACCTAAAAACGTGTTTGAACTTTAACAAATTTATGCTAAAGCCGCGATTAAATAACAGAAATATGGAAGAATCATCTTCTACTGTGTTAATAGGCAAGCGTGGGGATTATGCCAAGATTATGAAACTACTAAAACTGATAAAATTCTTCAGTAAATTAACTATAGTCAGACTTTTAATTCGATTCCTGATTTGACATTGACCACTGTCATTTTGTGAAATAATGATACCACATATAACAGTGTAGTGATGAACACAAAAATCGATAAACAATCAGTGAATCAGTTTCAGAAAGGCATTCAAAAAATTACGGCTACCGAATGGTCTAAATGTGTATCCCATGTTTTCAAAGAAGAGGAAAAATTGAGTAAGCTAGATATGTTAATTGACAATAAATACCTATCAAAGACACAATTCATAATAAATGTTACATAGAGTAACGGCGATAGCGATAGCGATGACGGCGACAATTTATAAAATGTCTGTTTTATTTGTCACGTTCCTTCATGATCACATTTTTTTTTATTTTCACACACAATTACAAAAGAAATGTCTCAGATCGTTAATTAATTGTAAAAACTAAATTATCGGTTCAGAAATATTTTATTTCCTGATAAACTTAGTCTACGAGAGTAAATTTATAAACGAGAGGAATCGATTCAGAAATATTCGATTTCCATATCGAATAATTTCGCAACGTCACTATTTATTACGTGTCATAACGTTGCAACACTGAAAAGTCAAATCTGGAATGGAATTAAAATTCCGAGTATAATTACTAACTATATACTTAATTAAAAATACAATGAAAATCAGTATACCTTAACATGCTTGTAAACTTAAAACTTTATTGAGAACTAACTTGACACTGCAAACTCCATACCTTCTCAAATTTAACTATATGTTGTGACCTTTCAAACCTTCCCTGGACTCCCAACGAATATTTTAAGACCAAAATTATCCGAAACAGACCAGCCGTTTTCGAGTTTTAACGTGACTAACAAACAGCAGTTCATTTTTTTCATTGAGAATGTTCGGGGGAGCTTGGGAGAATTCATTCCCCCTAGACCTTACCACCATCGTACCAACAGACAATCGGCAAAACCTCATCGCTTCTTGGTGAATATCCTCAAGCACGAAGCGGTTCACCTCCAGTTTTATCATCATCAGAACCGCTAAGGAGTGGAATTCTTTGCCGGAGTCTGTGCTCCCGAAGGGCCAAGTGAATAGGTTGTTTATGGGTAGGCGTGCTCCATCATAGGTCGCATCTTTGCTTACCATCAGGCGAGATAACGGAAAAATGCTTGAAAAACAAGATTGGCTTACCTAGACTGCCCGTCCCGTCAATGATTGCTGTAACAGTGGCTAGAGCGTGACTGTTCCCTGCCAGCGAATGGTGCGTGCCAAGCTCGGCGCTGACAGCCGTGGTGATTAGTGCGTACGGACCGTTGACCAGCGCGCCCGTCATCACCAGCAGGATTACTGACATGAGGTACGAGGTGCCTCCCCACCACTGGTATAGGAACAACTAGAGGGAGAAAAAACTATGTTATTTAAGTCAAATCACCAACATTGATTGTCCACCGGTTTTGTTACGACCAGCTAGCAGCGTTGCCAGATCAAAAAACGACGTGTCATTGACAACACGTGATAATAATTTTGAAGAAAGCAAATCGTCTGTATCTTAAGACTGTGATCAGCTACCGAGGTGCAAGCGTAATCACAAAAACACCAGTAATCCCCAACCGAATTACCAAGTATGAGGATTATGATAAAACCGGGTTCCGACGCCGAAATATATTAGTAGAGGGGTAACAAAAACTTCAGTAATCACCTAACCTAATATCCAAGTGTGGAGATTATGATAAAACCTTAGACCCAGTTTCCGAAGTCTTAAATATAGTAGTAGAAAGGTAACAAAAACTTAGTAAACAGAAGATAATCCCTACCTGAATTACCAAGTGTGGCGATTATGAAAAGTCTTATTCCCGGATTCCGAGATATAAATATAGTAGTATAGCTTAAACAAAAAAAAATCATTAATCCCCAACTGAATTACCAAGTGTGGTGATTATGAAAAATCCTTCGTTTCACGTTCAGAGGGTCTTAATATGGTAGTAGAGTGTCATGTATACTGACCATGGGCGCGCAGACACAGTAAAAGCAGACACAGACGAGGGCGGGCGCGGCGCTGCAGTCGGCGACGAGGCCGGCCAGTATGGCGCCCAGGACACCGCCCACGTCGAACACTGTGCTCAGCTCGCCCGACTGCCGGGCTGACAGGTTCGCTGGAAAAAGGGGGAGCTGATGATGCAGGGGCTCCAAGCAGAGACTTAAAAGTAAGACTAGGAGAGTAATGCTTCGGCACGAATGGGTCGGCTCGACCGGAGTGATACGACGCCTTCACAGAAAACCGGCGTGAAACAACCACAGCGTTGTGTTTCGCCGTGTGAGTGAGGTTACCGGAGGCCCAATCCTTCCCCTACCCCAATCCCTTTTCCAAAATCTCCAAATCCCTTATTCCCAAAAGGTCGATTACGCACTCATAACTCCTCCGTCGTTGCGGGTGTCCATGGGCGACGCTGATTGCTTACCATCAGGTAACCTGTATGCTCGTTTGCCGACCTACCAAAAAAAAAACAACAATTTGAAACCTTTTCCTTTAATTGAAGACCTTAATGTAAAAAACGCATATCCCCACTCCTCTAACCCCCATCGCCAAAATCAATAAAATTACCAAAAAACCCCAGCTACTTACGTAGAGTATACCGGATGTATGAGGGTAGCCAGTAGAGGAAGGTGTAGCTGACCAGCTTGGCGAAGAACAGAGAGAGCGAGAACTCGACAACCCCGGGGATGGCGAGTGCTCGGCCCAGGGACACCGCGCCGTCCGCCGCCGGCGCGCGCAGCAGGGACGTGCGCTCCGTCACGTCCTCCTGCTGGACATTGTCAGGATATTAGTGCCCACTGCTGAGCAAAGGCATCTTCTTATACGGAGAAGGTTTGAGCATTAATCACGACGCTTGTTCAATGCCGGTTAGCGATTTCAAACTTTTAGAAATTACAAGTCCAGGTTTCCTCACGATGTTTACCTTCACCGTATGTCAGTGGTGTCTAAATAATCATAGAAAGTACATATAACTGAAGATATAGTTTGCCTATTGCTTAAATGGGAGAGCCATGCTTGGGCACGAATGGGTCGGCTCGACCGGAGTGATACCACGGCCTCAAAAAAGCCGGCGTGAAACAACCACAGCGTTGTGTTTCGCCGTGTGAGTAAGGTTACTGGAGGCTCAATTCTAAATTTTCAGGGTCGGCAACACATTCTTAACTCCTTTGGTGTTGCGGGTGTCCATGGGCGGCGCTGATTGCTTACCATCAGGTAATCCGTCTGCTCGTTAGCCGACCTATTACATATAAAAAGGAAATACATCAACCCTGGCTGGTAATATGAGTTAGATGGATGATAACGTTACTAAAGTACTATTTATGGTTTAGTTGGAATAAACGATTTTGAGTTTGACTTTTGACTTTGATGAATGGAGGATTTTCTACAGATGTGTGTATGGGTCATGGGAACCGAACCTACGACCTTACGTACAAGAATACATTACTTACACTTTGCGCTGCATTGGCTGAATATCTGTTCGGCCGGAGACTCGCCGACTGTGGGGAAAGAAAAAAATCAAAATTAAAGACATTGAAAAAGCAACTTTCATTGTACACTTACAGAGTTGACATTACAAAAGATTTTTCACACAGGGCATCGTTAACACCACATAATGAAAAATAATGTAAAATGAACCTTATAAGTTAGTATTAAAGTTTAATAATAAAAAGTATAATAAAAAATAAGTTTAATATTGTAGTCAATTTTATAATAAAGTATAAAATGAATTTCAAAAAAGGATAAATATAATTATTATTATCTAACGTGAATTAGATTGTAATGTAAAATGGACTGTATTTCTTGCGTAATAAGGTTACAAATTACGTGTAACTTAAGATATGCCGCCCGATTCAATGATGAGCAATGTAAAATGGAACTTAAATAGTTTACAATAAGGTTGTTTATGTATTACCTGGTCTCCAACAATGACTGAAGACTCGTCATCTTCCTCTCCTTCATCCTCTTCATCAGATCGCGTCGACTGACGCGACGGCTGTTAGAGGGAGGTCAATGAACTATGGTACAGGGTGATTTACAAGACAAATTATTACAAAGACTTTGTATACTAAGCTGCTCGGCTCCTATTAGACAAAGCGTGACGTTTCATAGCCATTAAAAAAGTATATAGTATCCCGGTATTTTAAAAACAGCAGCTTTCAAACCGATAGCTCGGCTATAATACGCAAATCAAGTATAATTTATAGCCTATAGTACTCGGGAACATTGTAGCTATCTATCAGTGAAAGAATTTTGGCAATCCGACCAGCGGTTCCAAAGATTACCCCCTACATACAAACTTACACATTTATTGCCTCTTTATTATATTAGTATTTATATACGATAGGCAGCTATCTCGCCTGGTGGTAAGCGATGATGCGACCTACGATGGAGCACGCCTACCCATAAGCAACCTATTCACTTGGGCCTTGAAAACACCCAGGTTATACCCTTCCCCTACTAGGGGACAACGCACTTGTGATAACTCCTATCCTATGTAGAGGAGGAAATCTACCCTCATTGGCTATATGTGACAGATGTTTTTATTCGATTGATGATTTTATAAATTTCAAATCTTTCTGACATTTCATAAGTCCTAATATAAAAATAAATTGACCTTCATAATATTGATCATCATCATCAGCCTATAAGTGCCCACTGCTGAGCAAAGACCTCTTCTCACACGGAGAAGGTTAGAGCATTTAACCACTACGCTTGCTTAATGCGGATTGGTGATTTTAAACTTATAATTAGAAATTATGAGTTCAGGTTTCCTCACGATGTTTACCTTCACCGTATGTCAGTGGTGTCTAAATAATCATAGAAAGTACATATAACTCGGAAAAAGCCACTTCGGTACTTACCAACTTTTGAATCCGCATCCTCATGCATGAGAAGCGGGTGCCTTAACCTCCGGGCCACCACGACATTTTAATAATACTTTCGAATTTTAAATTGATGTAATTATGTATCAATACATACATATATGAAATTAATTCGCTATTTAATATGACAACGCTAACAATTATTATTATAATATATTATCTCTTTTTTTTTATTAATTGTGTATGTAATGCATGTTTAAATATGTATTGCTTTGACCCAGTTGTCACAAATATTTGCACGACTTGATGTATGTCGAATATAGTGAAACTCTAAAATTGTCGTCACCATGTATAACATATATTCTAGCAAATACAGTTTTCATTCATTCATTCATTCTAAATCCCTAATTATTCTAAATCCACGTAACGCAGATTGCTTACCATCAGGTCATCGATTGTAAAATACCACCTAAATATATGTACTTACAGAATTCCTGCCATTGACGGCGGCGGCGAGCCCCAGGTGTCGAGGGTCCGGCGCGAGGAACAGCCAGACCACGCCGCCCACAGCGCCCATCACCAGCCCCGGGTATATGAAGGACAGCGACCAGTCCGAGTCCACGTACTCCGCCGCCATTATTGTACCTGGACATGTATGAGGAGTTAAGCATGCTGTTGAAGATATCGAGGGGGGGGGGGGGGTTTCTAATGAGGACACTTAGATAGAGAGACGCAGAACTAGGGGGTAGAAAGAGGATTGTGGGGGTAGGGGGTAGAGAAATGGATGAAGGGGTAGGGGGTAGAGAGAGGTTTGTGGGTGTGGGGGTAGGGGGTAGAGAAATGGATGAAGGGGTAGGGGGTAGAGAGAGGTTTGTGGGTGTGGGGGTAGGGGGTAGAGAAATGGATGAAGGAGTAGGGTGTGGAGAAATGGATGAAGGGGTAGGGGGTAGAGAAATGGATGAAGGGGTAGGGGGTAAAGAAATGGATGAAGGCGTAGGACGTAGAGAAATGGATGAAGGGGTAGGGGGGTAGAGAGAGGATTGTGGGGGTAGGGGGTAGAGAAATAGATGAAGGGGTAAGGGGTAGAGAAATGGAGGAAGGGGTTGGGGGTAGAGAGAGGATTGTGGCGGTAGGGGGTAGAGAAATGGATGAAGGGGTAGGGGGTAGAGAGAGGATTGTGGGGGTAGGGGGTAGAGAAATGGATGATGGGGTAGGGTGTAGAGAAATGGATGAAGGGGTAGGGGGGTAGAGAAATGGATGAAGGGGTAGGGGGTAGAGAGAGGATTATGGGGGTAGGGGGTAGAGAAATGGATGAAGGGGTAGGGGGTAGAGAGAGGATTGTGGGGGTAGGGGGTAGGGGGTAGAGAAATGGATGATGGGGTAGGGTGTAGAGAAATGGATGAAGGGGTAGGGGGGTAGAGAAATGGATGAAGGGGTAGGGGGTAGAGAGAGGATTGTGGGGGAGGGGGTAGAGAAATGGATGAAGGGGTAGGAGGTAGAGAAATGGATGAAGGGGTAGGGGGTAGAGAAATGGATAAAGGTGTAGGGGGTAGAGAGAGGATTGTGGGGTTAGGCAGAAGAGGTAGAGACGGTTGAGGGGGTATGTGGTAATGAGAGGATTGTGAGGGTAGGGGGTAGAGAGAGGGTAGAGGAGGTAGAGGTAGAGAGAGGATTAAGGGAGTAAGGAGTAGAGAAAGTTGGCGTGGGTAGACAGAAGAGGTTAGGGGGTAAGGGGTAGAGAAATAGTTGAGGTGTAAGCAGAGAAAGGGTTTAGGAGGTAGGGATTACATAAATGGTTAAGGGTATAGGGGTTAGAGATAGGGTTGTTGGGGTAGGGGGTAGAGAGAGATGATTTAGAGATTAGGTGATAGAGAGAGGAGGATTCAGAAGAATGGGGGTAGGGAGAGTTAATAAAAAACAAAAGTTATTAATATAGATAATAATATAAAAAGCGGGCGAACGCAGCCCGCGCCAGTCGTGCGTTAGCATGCGATTGGATGCTCAATATACGCCTTAACTCACCCAGTATGTTCCCGAGTGAGGTGTGAGAGTTCCATATCCCGAAGATGAGGCCTTTCTTGCTGTTCCCGAACCACTTGCCCACTATAGCGACGGTGCCCGGCCAGCCCGTCGTCTGCGCGATACCGGCGCCAGCCTGCCGGGGGATACGGCTTAGAATAAAACATTGCCTTTATAAAAGACCCCTTTTGGGGGTCTTCAAATGAAGAGCGTTAATAATTATCAGCTTACGTGCGACGGTCTTCTCATCCAGTTATGATTTACGTGTCTTCAAGGCTAGAGTGAATAGGCTCTTAATAAACCAATGCGCCTTACCATCAACGATTGCATCACTGCTTACCATCAGGTGGAATCGCAGTCAAGCACTAATTTATATAATTTAAAGAACACCAGTGTCTTAGCAATATAGAGGTTTCAATGAGTGCGTCGCTAGCGTAATTAGTTTATTAGTGTGGGAGAGTCATGCTTCCCGGTTTTCTGTGATACGACTGCCTCACAGAAAACCAGAAAACCTGCGTGAAACAACTGTTACAGAGTTCGGCCGTGTGCCTTCAACCTTCAAATCCTTTATAACTTTCAAAAATGTGGGAGAGTCAAGCTTCGGCACAAATGGTCGGCTCGACTAGAGTGATACCACGGCCTCACAGAATACCGCCGTGAAACAACCACAGCGTTGTGTTTCGCCGGGCACGCTACCATAGCAGCGGTAAGACCCCTCTTTGAGGAGTGGCTTGAGAGACGCCACGGCGTCCTCACCTTCCGTCTGACGCAGGTGCTTACCGGGCACGGCAGCTTCGGTAGGTTCCTGTTTCGGATTCAGCGGGAGGAAACGCCCGAGTGTCGTCATTGTGAGGACCACCTAGAGGATACGGTGGAGCATACGGTAGCGGTATGCCCTGCCTGGGCTGAGCACCGCCGTATCCTCAGGGAAGTGATCGGCGGCGGCGACCTCTCGCGCCCGGCCTTAGTCGAGGCCATGGTGCGGAGTGAGAGGAACTGGGACGCCGTCTCCTCCTTTTGTGAAGCAGTCATGCTCGCAAAGAGAGAGGCGGCCCGCGTGAGGGAGCAATCCTCCTCCTCACGCCCCAGCAGCCGCAACTGGCGACACTACGGGCGTCGGGGATCGAGGGACGATCTCCGGCCACCGTAAGTACGGGCCTGCGGTCGGCGAGTAAGGGCAGCTCGCCGCCCGACCAGAACCAGGCCCGAGCGTACGGCGCGTAGCGTTCCGCGCGCGCCTCAAAGAGCCAATAGACCACCACAGACGGGGCCCTATAGGGCTGATGTTTAGCCGGGGTTGCGGGGTAAGCGCAATGAGGTACCGCGACCTCGGCACAGAGCAGGAGAAGGAACAGGGGGGTTTTTAGTCAGTAAGAGTCTGACACTCTCTCCTGCCCGGCCCTGGGCGGGAGAAGTCATTTGATGATTTTCCCCTCACAAAAAAAAAAAAAAAAGCGTTGTGTTTCGCCGTGTGAGTGAGGTTACCGAAAGCCCAATCCCTCCCCTTCCCCTATCCCTTCCCAATCCTTATATCTGCAACCCCTATCCCCTAAAGGTCGGCAACGCACTCGTAACTCCTTTGGTGTTGCGGGTGTCTATGGGCGGCGCCAATTGCTTGCCATCAAGTAATACGTCTGCTCGTTTGCCGACTTATACCATAAAAAACACAAAAGGCTGTCAACGCACTTATGGTAACTCCTTTCTTCATTACTAGTAGGGCAGTGACGATTGCTTATCATCAGAGAAACCGCCGCAAAAAAAACAACTGCGAACGACAACTCAACTGGTCTATTTCTAAACCATTGAGCCAGTTTTTGCATTTCAAATTGAAGGTAGGTTTTTTTTGTGAGGGGAAAATCATCAAACGACTTCTCTTGCCCAGGGTCGGGCGGAAGGGAGTGTGAGACTCTTACTGTCAAAAAACCCCCCTGTTCCTCCTCCTGCTATAAGCCGAGGTTGCGGTGCCTCATTGCGCTTACCCCTCCACCCCGGCTGAACATCAGCCCTATAAGGCCCCGTCTGTGGTGGTCTATTGGCTCTTTGAGGCGCGCGCGGAACGCTACGCGCAAAATGAAGGTGAGAATAAGATTCTATACAAAAAACTGACTCAATAGTTTAGACTTCGACCAAAAAAATCCCTTGTTTCGTAATAAGGAGGAACAAGTTTATGGATCACAAACCTGTACTAGGAGGTAGTAGGTGATGTTGTGGATGTTGTAAGTCCTCCCGATACCGAACAGGTAGCAGAATATGGCGGACGTCAGCATACCGAACGACAGGAAGTAACGGAGGTCCACTCGCTCCGCTACCATACCTACAGACATACAGATAGAGATGGTGTATACATATATATTTTTATGTAGTTGGTCGGCAAACGAGCAGACGGATTACCTGATGGTAAGCAATCAGCGCCGCCAATGGACACCCGCAACGGACGAGTTACGAGTGCGTTGCCGACCTTTTAGGGATTAGGGATTTGGAGATTTAGGGATTGAGGAGGGATTGGGGGCGGGGACGGATTGGGCCTCCGGTAACCTCACTCACACGGCGAAACACAACGCTGTGGTTGTTTCACGTCGGTCTTCTGAGGCCGTGGTATCACTCCGGTCGAGCCGACCCATTCGTGCCGAAGCATGGCTCTACCACACTTAGCTGGCGCTAGTTACGTCATAAGAATAATTGTCGAAAATGGTGACTTCGTTTTGATTTCAAGAATAGGATTGTCATATAAACTAGTTTTGATTTATCAAGTTCATAGTAACAACATAACTGTGGAAGAGACATACAGAGGCACTCTTGTGCCTCACAGAAACCGGTGTGACAGAACTACAGCGTTGTGTGTCGCCTTGTAAGTGAGGTTACTGATGGTACAATCCTTCCCCTCCCATTCCCCCTCCACTGTGACCTAACTACCAGCACATTACTTTGTAACACCTCTAGTGTTACTGGTGTCCAAGAGCTTCGATTGCTTACCATCAGGTAATCTGTTTGCTCGTTTGCTCTGCCAAACTGAGCAGAGAAACTTAGTCTGTAGTGTATACAGTATAAATTACTAGCTATTTTGACGCGTTTTCACCCGCTGTTCGGCTCCATTTGATCGTAGCGTGATGTTTAATAGCCTATAGCACTCAGGAACATTGTAGCTATCTATCAGTTGACTGCACGGTTGGCGCGGTGGCTGGGCAACTGGCTGCAGCGCAACGTGTCGCGGGTTCGATTCCCGCACGGAACAACTCTTTGTGTGATCCACAGATTGTTGTTCCGTGTCTGGGTGTGATGTGCATGTGAAATTGTATGTTTGTAAACGCACCCACGACACAGGAGAAAAAAAAAGTGAAAGCGGTTCCAAAGATCACCCCCTACATACAAACTTACAAATTGTACCTCTTTATTATATTAGTATAGAAAAGTTAAATAACAACTTAAATACATTTCCGTCACATTTTAATCTTTGCCTGCAGTATTTTATCACGCGACATTATCAAATACAACTGACGTCCATCACCAAAGAGTTTACGCACGAAAATAATTTAAATTCGATTAAAATCTTTACATACACACACACACACACATACTTGTATGATGACGTCATACCTCATTCATTCTGCTTGCACTTATATTACTTATCTATTGGCGCATTTAATTGCTATCTTACAAACTATGAGTCATTCCATATATCGCATCATCAGCCTTTAAGTACCCATAATTTTTTTATGCATACCATCAACGGAGGTGTTAATAGTGCGTTGCCGACCTTCTCGGGATTAGGGATATGGCGATTTTGTGATTGGGGAAGGGGAAGGATTGAGCCTCCGGTAACCTCACTAACACGACTAAACAATGCTGTGGTTATTTCACGCCGGTTTTCTGCGAGGCCGTGGTATCAATCCAGTCGAGCCGACCCATTCGTGCCGAAGCATGGCTATTCCACACTTAAAGCTGAGCAAAAGTCTTTTCTCACAAGAAGAAGGTTTAAACATTAATCACCAAGCTCGCTCCAGACGGATAATTAGACTGCTCGCCGTTCAAACACCAAAGTCAAAACTCAAAGTGAAAATCATTTATTTCAATTAGACCCATACAGGCACCAATGAACGTCAAACAAAATTTTAAAGATATAAAGTGTCAGTCTGTCGGTCAAACTCTTAGTGAAGCTATTCGCTCGTTCCAAAGTATAGATTCCGATGGAGAAGTACGAGCAAGAAACTCCATGGCTACTCTTTTTAAATCAGTGTCACATAAAGATTCTTTGATACATTATTTAGTTGGTTTGATTACGTGAGAACAACAGTGTAACGCAGGTATACAGAGAAACATAAAAAGAAAATTCACCGTTTCATTATCGCCTGTCTGAACTGGCGTCGCTGTACACTGAAATTCAGGTTTCCTCACGATGTTTTCCTTCACCGTATGTCAGTGGTGTCTAAATAATCTTAGAAAGTACATATAACTCAGCAAAAGCCACATTGGTACTTGTCAGACCCTAAACTCTTGGCCACCACGGCGTTACATAGAACCCACGTTATTATATAATTAAGCAAGGGTGGGCAAAACGAAGTAATTACACCAAAAGTTAGCCTACATAGTGAAGATTTGAAAAACAATTTGCCCTACCTAGAAATCGGACGCATTGACAAAACACCACAGTTATAGTCAAACAATAATTTATGAAATATTTGCTAGTTAATTAGTTTATCGATCGTCATTACTTCATTAGCATTGTTTGGTCGAGTGCTCAAGGTCGTGGGTTCGATGTCTGGTTGGTGACAAACATACGTCACTACAGCTGTTCTGTGAGCTACGTATTTTGTTTATTTGTAACGTGTAGGCCACGTTAACAACAATTATCTATACTAATATAAAGAGGTAAAATTTGTAAGTTTGTATGTAGGGGGTGATCTTTGGAACCGCTGGTCGGATTGCTAAAAATCTTTCACTGATAGATAGCTACAATGTTCCTGAGTGCTATAGGCTATAAAACATCACGCTACGATCAAATGGAGCTGAGCAGCCGGCGAGTGAAAACGTGCGAGAGTAGCTAGTAATATTATGAAGTCAAGGCGTTTATTTCAAACTAAGTTTACAATGTTGTTGTTATTTTATGGATTAAAGAGGCCTCCCGTCTTTGGATCCCCCCTCTTCTGAGCATTGGAAAAAATGCAACCAGAAAAAATCGTTGCTTCACGAAGGTTATGGCGAGAGACAGTGTCAGACTCTCACCGATTAAACACTCCCGTTCCTTCTCCTGCTTTCTAGACCTTTAAGGGCTGGTCTTAGGGCTGATTTTTCAATAGTCAGATAAAAGTTAACTGTGAAATAATTATGATGCTGTCGCGTCACAATGTTTGTATAAGACAGTGACAGCAACAATTTTATTCCTCAGATAACATTTATCTGACTATTGAAAAATCAGCCCTAAGACTAATCTCATCGAAAAATCGAAACCAAAAACCTTCCCCAATATATGAATATCCATAAGCCTAATGGCAAAATCGTCGGTAACGCACTCGTAACTCTTTTGATATTCCGGGTGTCTATAGGCGGCGCCGATTGCTTACCATCAGGTAATCCGCCTGTTCATTTTCCGACTTATCCTATATAAAAAAAGGTGTCCGTCTGTCGGTCTGTCCTCTAGTGAAGCTATTTGCTCATTCCAAATTGTAGATTCCTATGGAGAAGAACGAGCAAGCAACTCCATGGTCGGCAACTTTATGAAGTTGATTCAATTATATGAGAACATTATCATCAGATATTTGAACCAATTTTTGAACATATTAATAATGTCAACGTCAAAATGGACGTCGACGTGAACCAGCACAACATAACATCATTTTTTTATGGAATAGGAGGCAAACGAGCAGCCGGATCACCTGATGGTAAGCGCATGCACATCTGCAACACCAGAGGAGTCACAGGCACGTTGCCGGCCTTTTAAGAAGGAATACGCTCGTTTCTTGAAGGTTTGAAGGTCGTATCGGTTCGGGAATACCGCCGCCATTAATATGTTATAGTTTACCTGACACAAACATGGCGCCCGCATACGAGAACAGGAACGCGGAATCCAGGGTCCCCAGCAGCGTGTTCGCGTCCGCCGTATCTGGAACGTGCAATGTGGAACTATATTACAATATAATTACAGTTCAGTTTCCACTGAAAATATAAGGTACCATAAGGATCAATTTGCTGTGAATTTTGGTAGTTTCCTAGGTCAAAAAGTTTCGATACAATAAAACATTGAAAAAGAACTATTATTCATATTTGCCCGAATGTAGGGAGCTGTGACATCGCGTCTTCAGTCTGCTTGTGACCACGACCTGTGCAACCAGGTCGAAACGTCAAGCCTACCAAGGTATTTAGTACCTAATTCTTTAATTTTGCTATGCCCTACAAGGTCCATAATTGATCTCACACAAATAGTTTGTTGGCTTTAAATATACTTATGGAAAACAATAAAGATATTGAGTATTAAGTATTGAGTATTTTTCGCCTTAATACCCGCGTGTCGTGGTGGCCCGGAGGTTAAGGAGTCCGCTTCTCATGCATACCTGGCAAGTACCAATGTGACTTTTTCCGAGTTATGTACTTTCTATGATTATTTAGACACCACTGACATACGGTGACGTAAAACATCGTGAGGAAACCTAAATTCTAATTATAAGTTTGAAATCGCCAACCCGCATTGAGCAAGCGTGGTGATTAATGCTCAAACCTTCTCCGTGTGAGAAGAGGTCTTTGCTCAGCAGTGGGCACTTATAGTCTGATGATGATGATGACCCGCGTAATTATATGTTGTATATGGAGGGATATCTCTATCTATCTGAAGCTTAATCCCCCCTTTTACTTGATGTTATTATTACCTACGCTTAGAGCTAAAATACAGTTATGGACCCTGTTAGGGCACAGAAACATATTTCACTTGATCCAAAAAAGCACGATTTCTTTTTTAACCGACTTCCAAAAAGGAGGATGGTTCTCAATTCGACCGTATATATGTTTTTTTTTATGTTTGTACCGATATAATATCCAAAATCGATTCATAAGTAAATGCTACATACCAAAAAACAATAGTATTAGAATATTGATCGGTACCCGTGATCGGTACCTACGTACGTATGTACACCACCACCTACGTATCGGTACTAGCAAGAGGTGTAGGTAATATCTTTACACTGTTATAGTTTTACTTGGCACCGACTTCAAAATTATAAAATAGTTATTAAATATTATTTTCTATTTAACTAAATGAAAATATTTATTACTTTAAACAAAGTACCTAAATTTATTTTTTGCTTTTTAGTTTACTTTTTGAAGTCGGTTTTTTTTTTTGTTAAAAATTGTTTTATTGACATATGCCCCTTATTAAAAAACGTTTGAACCCAATGAAGACATGATATGGGCTACGATAGAGGGGTAACTATCCTCATTACACATAGAATGGTGACTTGTGGTACTCACTGAACGGCGCCCAATTACACCACTGATCATCGCTGGGATCTGTCCCCGGCGGGGGCACCAGCGCCGAGCAGTTCTGGTGCAGGACGCTCTTCACCACCGATATTGGCTTCCGAGTCAGGTGGTACGTCATGTACGTGAAGAATGTCAGCACGAGAACCGAACCTTGGTACCTGGAAATAGAAGACGAGAGTTAGTTATCATATTGAGACTATTATAGGCCTTTCCTACTTAAGAGGAGATTCCAGTTATCTCCGCACTTGGCAGGCCTGGTTGGAGATTTTGTGACGAGTGCGTTGCCGGCCTTTTAGGGATAAGGGTTTCGGATATTTAAGGATTGAGAAGGGATTTTATTTTTTTATTTTTTTTTGTGAGGTGAAAATCATCAAATGACTTCTCCCGCCCAGGGCCGGGCGGGAGGGAGTGTCAGACTCTTACTGACTAAAAATCACCCTGTTCCTTCTCCTGCTCTAGGCCGATGTCGTAGTGCCTCATTACGCTTACCCCGCAATCCCGGCTGCACATCAGCCCTATAGGGCGCCGTCTGTGGTGGTCTAATGGCATTGTGAGGCGCGCGCGCGGAACAATTGGAAAGGTATTTGGTTTGGGCCTCCGGTAACCTCACTCACACGGCGAAACACAACGCTGGTAAACTATAACTATACAATCAGTGACACACAGCAAAACAATCGTTAAAACGTGACTGCAAAACTTAATGTTTACAATCAAATTAATTAATAACTAATTAATTATTATAATTAGCACACTATCATCACAATGTCATAACATGTAAATGATATGAAAATTAAAAACAAACTTTACAAAATTGATATGTAGGTAAAATGAATAAAATAAAAGGTGATAGGTAAAATAAAATGGGTGCTATACGCTCTGTATCAGGGAGTTTTTTTAAATGTCAATTTTTTTTTATGCGACATGTCGGCAAACGAGCTGACGGTTTGCTTGATGGATAGCAATCAACGCCTTCCTTGGAAGCCCGCAACATCAGAGAAGTTAGCAACGCACTTGCCAATGAATTTTTTTTTTTGTTTTTTTTTTTTTTTTTTTTTTTTTTTTTTTTTTTTTTTTTATGGCAACTGAGTCTCCAATTCGATGTTGTCGACTATACTGCCAGTGTCACGTGGTGACGGCAGATTGATTGACCGTCGAACTAAAATTCGTGGTAGTTGTTAGTATCTGAAAGGACGACACATTTGTTAGTAGACATATATAACGTGGATAAGTATATAAACAAAAACACAATCTCATGTATGTATACGAAAAGAAAAAAAAAACATATTATGTACATATATACATTATAATTTACATCACACACCATCATATTTTAATATTATTTTGGGAAATAAATTGGGATAAGCATTTTATAAGTTTATTTGAAAAGTATGTTAATAGGGAATGAAAATTGATTGGGAGAGGGACTTGGAGGGTGGGAAGCTTTTTATATAGATCGAAGGACTGGGAATTTTGGGAACAGGAGAAGAAAATGTGGTCTAAGGATCCCTCATCAAGACCGCATGCACACAGCGAGCTGTCACGAACACGGATCTTGTTGAGGAATACCGGACTACAGCAGTGGCCGAGTCTCAGTCGGCACAAGGATGAAATAGTGTGTCGGGGCAACCTAGGGTATTTGCAGAACCAAGGCCTCCGCTGGATGCCGGACTGTATATTCGCGTAATAGACACCCTTCCGTTTGGAGGACTCTCCCCACACTGCGGCCCACGCGCTGAACAGCTTGTGTTTTGTGTCAGCACGTAAGTCGTATCCGTATACAACGTAATGACGTCGCTCGACATCATTCGAGGCTGCAAACCTTGCCAATGAATCCGCGCACTCGTTACCGCATATACCAGCATGGCCAGGGATCCAGGCGATCTCAACATTTAACCCCTGTGTGTGGCAAGAAAAGAGCAAAGATTTTATTTCAATGACTAAAGTACTGTGTGTTCGAGAATGGAGTTGATTTTGACTGAGAGACTGTAAACTACTTAGAGAATCTGAGAAAATTACGGAGTTATTGAGATTATGAGATTTAATAAATTTTAATGATTCTAAAATGCCAGCACATTCCCCAGTGAATACCGACGCCTGGGGAGGACATTTAGAGAGCAGCGCGATTCTCGAGTTTTGGTAGTACACCGCTACTCCCGTGCACCCGTTCCGGGAGAGTTTGGAAGCATCCGTATAAAATACATTCCAGCCCCTCCAATATTTGTTTAAGGCGTGTTTAAATTCGACCGTCGCATTCACTGAGGACTTCGAGATGCCAAGTTCCAAAACAAGCTTTGGCCTGAAGTGAATCACCTCGTATGCGGAAGAGAAGACCGGAAGTACAGGGAATTGACTGATAGGTGCAGGGAGGTTTTTAAGCTCTCTGTACCGTACAATCACAGGGGGGATGGGTTTATGATTCCAGTATGTAGAGGAACTGTAGGAGTTGTTAATTAGTTCCAAGATAGGGATTAGGGGATGGACAGAAAAGGAAAGGACTTTAGAGACGAAACGGTCTGCCAGGTATTGTCTGCGTAGGTCGAGGGGGGGGTTCCGCACACTCGACCTGAAGAGCGTTTATGGGGGATGACTTCATAGCTCCAATAATTATTCTGAGGCATTTGGCCTGAATGGAATCTAATTTTTTCAGTGCTTCCTTGTTGCAAGGTGCAATAAGGTAGCTACAATAGTCCATTACACTTCTGACCAATGCATTATATATGAGCTTCAATGTGTACGGGTGAGCACCCCACCATACCCCAGCCAGAGCTTTCAGTATGGATACCGAACGTTCGCATCTTTTAGCTACAGCGTTCACGTGGTCGACGCCGGACATTCTCGAGTCGAGAATAACTCCTAAGAATCTAGCGCTGTCCTTGATTGGGATAGCTTGACCATCAATCTCTATACGAAGATCTGGAGTGTGACGCCTGCGTGTAAAAATGACAGCTGTGCTTTTTGAAACGCTTAAAGACAACCCATGATTAAGTAGCCATTGGTTTAATGAGGCCAATGAGACATTCATGGAGAGGGCGGAGTCCGTTATGGAGCTGCCGGTGATCATTAGGGCGATATCGTCGGCGTATTGGAGGACATTACAATCATAATTTAGACAGGAGGGGAGATCGTGGGTGTAGATATTATAAAGGATGGGACTAAGGACTGAACCCTGGGGTAAACCTCTCCAGGCGATTCGCTGGACAGGCTCACCCTCAGAGGTTCTTAATTGAAGGGGACGGTTGGAGAGGATGCAGCTTACAATTCGGCAAATCCTACTCGGGATTCTCAGCTCTTGCAGTTTCTGCCTGAGAAGGGGTAAGAGTACAGAATCATAAGCTGAAGAAATGTCCAGGAAGACCACAACCAACGACTCATTCCTGCTAAGGGCCAGTCGGATGGCTGACGTGAGGGTACCCACACTATCAGCCGTACCTAGACCTTTCCTGAAGCCAAACTGAGTCGCCGGAAGCAGCCTCCGGCTTTCTACCATCCATTCAAGGCGGTTTTTAATAAGATGTTCCAGGATTTTTATAAGGATAGACGTTAAGGCAATAGGTCTGTAGGAGAGATGATCACCGGAGTCTTTGCCAGGTTTTAGTAGCGGCATGACAACCTGAACCTTCCAAGAGGGAGGAATATACCCGGAGGAAAAGCAAAAATTGGCCAAGTCAAGTTAATATTGTTTTGTTTTGGTTCCTGCTCTACTCAAGAACGAATAGGGGAATCCATCGACCCCTGGTGCTGAATCCTTCACACGCTTAAAAACCGATTGGAGTTCTTCGATTGAGAACTCCAGATCAAGTGGGTCGTGTGTTTCTTCGAAGGGTCTTGGGCAGCACTCCTCTTCATTCGGGACATACGAAGGAGCGATGTTATTAAAAAATCTATTGCTTAATAACTTGGGTAGATTGAAAACGCCGCCATATACTCAATAATATATCGTCATCGTCTTCTGCTGATATCTGGAAGTTCCTTGGATCTTTGGGTATTGGCAAACCGCGACATTTCGACCTGCCTAACACAATTAGTTTAGATGCTTTAAATAGTCATTTCTCCACTTTTTCTCATTTGGACTATTTAGTAAAGCAGGATACTATCAATTTTTTATCTGGTCTAACGCGTCCCGACATCAAATGTTTTGATTTTACGCCAGTTGATGAGGAAGAGATCAAAAAATTATCCTATCCATCAAATCTAAAGCGGTGGGGTGTGATAACATCAGCCGTCAGATGATTGTCTTTATCCTTGAACCAATCCTTCCTGCTGTCACCCATATAGTAAATTTTTCTTTCTTCTCTGGAGTTTTCCCCTCACTTTGGAAGAAAGCTTACGTGCGTCCTCTTCCCAAAATTTCCAGCCCTTCTCTTCCCAGTCATTTTCGTCCGATTTCTATCCTGCCATTCCTATCCAAAGTGCTGGAGGCTTGTGCTCATAAGCAGTTGGCGCGTTTTATTTATAGCAACAACCTCATGAGTCCGCTGCAATCCGGATTTAGGCCAGGACATAGCACTTCCTCTGCCCTCCTTAAAGTGACTGGCGATATTAGAACTGCTATGGAAGACGCTAGTGTCACTGTGTTGGTGCTAATAGATTTCTCTAATGCGTTCAATACCGTCTGTCACGATATCCTTTTGTCTATCCTGTCCCATATTATGGTCTCTTCTAAGTCATTAGACTGGTTTTCATCCTATCTTCGGGATCGCCAGCAGTCAGTTCAGGTGGATGAAGGTTCATCGGCATGGTGTACTTTGGATGCTGGCGTTCCTCAAGGCGGCATACTTTCACCTCTATTATTCTCAATATTTATAAATTTCCTTACTTCTGAACTTCAGTGTTCGTATCATCTCTATGCCGATGACTTGCAGTTGTATCGTCACACTAAGGTAAGCGAACTGGAAGTTACTCTCAGAAAAATTAACGAGGATTTGGAGTTGGTAAGGAACTGGTCTCACAGGTTTGGAGTGACAGTTAATCCTGGCAAATGTCAAGCCATAATTATTGGTAGCTCAAGAATTGTGGGTAAAATTGACGCTCTTGACTTGCCAACTGTTGTCTTTGATGGCACACAAGTTGAGTTCATCCAGCATTTCTACTAGCTCAGTCCCAAAGCACAGCCTCCATAACCATCAGATCTATCCTGTCTGACAACACTGAAACCCGG